AGCCCTAGTAGAGAAAGCCTCCTCCTTTATTGCCCTTCATGTTTCCTTTTTCCTTCTCTTTTATTTTTGTTGCGCATGAACATATGATAAAACTAAATTTTCATACATCCACCATGGTGTATGGCACATTCACTGCGACAGATGACACAATAAGCTCAAACTAAGTTTTGAGCTTTACTTGATGCTCGGTCACCATGAGCTCCCATTTAGCTCTCTTCCAAGGTTGTCTAATGATTCAATAATCTCATTAGTGGTTTGAAAACATCATTAACTTATTAATCGCTCAATTTTATCAATTTACCCTTTTTGAACACTAAAAATTCAAAGTTTGAAATTGAAGACGTTACAAACGGTGTAGGCAAGACCTACATTCATTTTTTTTATTTCTTTCTCCATATTTTTTTCATCTAAGCAGCTAGAGAAAAAATGTTGTGTGGATGTCACGGGGACACACTATGTAAGTATATATAGTTCAACTGACAAACAAAATTTTACTTCTATCAAGTCAAGGCAAAATTGTACCATTTTTAAAAATATTCGGGCAACATTATACTTAAAAATACTTTAAGATATTAATTGCGTTTGCATGAAAATTTGGGAACATATTTATGCATTAATCCAATATCTCAAAAGATGATATGAGGGCGTCTTCCTATCAGCAATTTGTAACCCCCAACTTCTTCAGCCTTTTGGGCATTTGGTCCTCTTGTCAATGTACTAGCATTCATTCTTGTTTGTTATATTAAAAAGAAAGTCAAATTAAACTATGAACCATTTGAATTAAAATTTGCAGAACTAAAATTTTATAAATTGATGTTTGCAAATTAAAGTTAAAACAAAAATCGATTATTTTAATATAATTTATATTTGGATACTTTTATAAGAAACTTGTTCAAATAATATAATTCAAAAATAGGTTTAGATATATAATGACACGAAATGACATGAATTTTATGACATATTTTTATATGTGTAATTTAATCTCTTTAAGAAAAATATTAACTGTTAAGTTAAAATTATTAAAAATATAAAAGAGTCCACATCCATATATAATTAAAAAAGTATTATCTGTAAATTCTAAAAGCTAACATAAATTGATAAGTAACCACAAAAAAAGCAAAAAATCACCCAAAAAAAAATCTACCTTAACTCCTTCTTATATACAACTTCTACCATAGCTTTAAGTTTAAACCAAACATAATCTTTAAGTTATGAGAATTTAAATTTAGATTTGAATTAAATCCTTTATTTAGATATACAAAAGTCTAATTATTTGTATTTGATCAAAATCCAAACTCATGTTTTAAAATAACTTTTTATTTTCAAATTATCTCTGTATCTTATTATTTAAAATTCTAGCTATTTCAACTTTTTTATTTTCTTCATGTTTTCACTATTGTTTTGTTGCCAATGTAACTCTAGTTTTTTTTTCTCATTTACGGTTCTTGTCTCTCATTAAAAAAATAGAGGTAAATTTAGACTTGTTTGAAATTGTTTTGTTTTATTGTTTTGAGAACTAGTATTTTATAGAATATATTTTGAAAGAGAAATAATAAAAATAGGTTTTTTTTCATTTTCTCTTATTTTTTGGAACAATAATTTCAGAGCAATTAAAAGATGTTTTCATTTTTCTATTATCTATAATAATATTTTATTTTTTATTCTTCAAAATATTTTTAAAACCACATTATCAGACATATTTTTTTATTTTGAAGAATAAAAAACTATTCCAAACACATATTGCTAAACAGGAGCCTTGTTAGTCTCAATTTTTCATTTTTACTTTGAAACCCAACTCATCTCTTTTCTTCCTTTAAAATCTTTTCACATTGTCCATACAAAGGTTTTTAAATAGTACATGAACTTTTTCATAACTAAATACAAAATTTTAAATTCAAGATTTTAAATCTAAAATTTAAATTTAAAATTATTAATTCACATGTTACCTCAGTTAAATTGGTTTTTATTCCTCAGATCATAGTTTCTAGAATACAAGTAGAAGGATAATTGCTTTTGCCAAATTAGATTTTCTAGATTAAAGTTTTCCTTTTGCTATTGTCACTAAAGTGGATAGTTAAACATACATGAAGCATTTTTGCCATGCAGGTTGGAGCTTAAGGTTCACATTCCTCCGTCTATTATATAAGGTGTTTCAAACATTTTTCATGTAGACAAAGAAAAGTTGTTAAATTGTTTTATTTATTTAAAAACAAATCAGTATTTCAATTGTATTCTTATTATTAATTAAAGGGAATCTCACCATGCCTTGCTTAAATTATTAGAAATTTATTAAAATTATAAGGATATCAAAGAAATATTATTTAATATCCTTATATAGTGTATTATAATTTGGACTTTTTTTTATTCTTGAAAGATATCTTATACAAAGGAGAGGGGGGTATCCCCCAATCAGTAACTTCAAGAATCCTGCAATAAGGAGTTGCTTTGTCAAGGTAAGTAGGAAATGAAAGTTAGACTTTTCAAAAAGTCAAATGATAAATTAATCCTTAAATTATAATTTTAGGAGCACATGAGATTGTTTTGTTTTTGTGCAATATTTCTCTTTAACTTTTTAAAATAATATAATATTGCACCTGTCATTAATAGATATTAACTTTCATATTTTGTTGACGAAAAATTTATAGAAAAGGAGCACAATAAAAATTTTTATCTTTTTATGTTATTTTTTATGTCTTTGTTTGTAATTTTTTAGTCATTTCATGTAATTTTTGAAATTATTTTTTGTAATTTTTTTATTAATTAACAATCAGAGTTAATTTTTGTTTATGATATGATTGACATTGCACCAAAAATAAACTTAAAATTTCATACACTACTGAACTTATAGTTTAAAGATAAAATTATCTTTTAACCTAAAAAGTTATATAGCTTGATCTATTAAAAGTCCTAACTTTTTTAAAAGTAGAAGCATAACTTCTCAAAAAGTAACGCAATTGAAACATGCAAAGTCTTAAAATAAAAATGACATTGTATTTTTGTACCCAAAAAAAATAACAAAGCATTTTTACCAAATTTATTATCCCATTTAAATTAAAATTTAAACAACTTGTTATATTCTATTTAATATTTTAAAAAATGGACTAGATGATAAATCAGAAATGTCAATGAATCACAATTCTCTTGGTTTGGCTTGTTGGATTAGGGTCAAACCAGTTACAAAATAATAAAATAAAAAAGTAATATTTCTACACATATAATATAAATGAAACATTAAAAATAACATATTAAATTTTAAGTTATTCATTTTTTCATATGTATATTTTTATTTACCTTATTTATCTTTTAAAGTAAATAAGTTTTCAAATTTCTTTACAGTTTAATTCATACAATATCAATAAATAAATTACACACTCAACTGTACTATAACAACCCATAAAATTTGAAATTAATATTTTTAAATTAAAAAATTATTTATAAAATAAGAGTAAAAAGAAAATACGATTTAAAGTGGGCCAATCGTTTTGATTTCCAAGTTAATTCTGGATCTATCAAAATCACTCAATTCAAAGCAATTTAAAACGGTTTGATCTTTAAGATAGGCTATCAAGTTTAACCAAGTTGCTTTTGTATCTAAATGATGGTCCAACCAATCTAATCGTTTGGGTTAATTTGGGTATGAAGACATTGATTTTACCATTTGTTAGCCCCAAATATATTAAAAATATAACCAACTTATTCCATTGCAAAATTTCTTCTGTGCAAATTTAATACAATGGTTTTCCCTGTAGAAAATATTGTAGTAGGCACTGTTCATGATCAAATCATTTCTTCATAAAAGGTCATCTTAAATATATGATATATGATGACACGACATGATATTATACATTTTATTAATCTGTGATTAAGAATTGGTGGATAGATAGGCCGATAAAAAGGATAGATAGTATTAATTGTTAAATTAAAATATTATTAATCACGAATAAATAAGATAAATGATTCCTCAAACTTCATGTAAATTTTAAGAGAACTTGTCTAATTGTTCAGGCAAAAAAAAAAAGAGAACTTGGTTAATTCAAATTCAAATTATATATAATTACAATTACTATTATTATAACAATTGTGACAACTGCTATCACTACCACAACTATTGCTGTTGCTATTACTAATTCAAATTATTTATAATTTAATTTCATTGCTCTAAATTCTTTTAGTTTATTTCATCTACAACATTAATTTTTTTATTTTTAAATATGCTCAAAAGGATAATGATATGTCACTAACAATGATAAATATGTTAAACTACGACTAATCTTGTTATTCTATGCTTAATGGAATTATAATTAAGCAGACTAATAGTATTGTCCATCCTATTATTTTCAAGTTTCGGGTTTCAATCTATTGAAGCATAATTCTACCACAATACAAAGATTAACAATGCTAACCACAGTTCAATATATTTTATTGTTAGTGCCATCTCATTGTTCTTTTAGACATATTAAAAAATAAAATGATTAATGTTGTAGACAGAGTAAACCAAAGAACCTATAGCCAAAAAAAAAATAGGTGTTTATATCAAAACATGTTAAAATTAGGAAAATTAATAATAAAATCATTCTAAAATATGTAAATAATAATTTAATTCCTTGAAATGTCGTAATTTTCCTGAAGTTTTTAAGGACTTTTCTATCATTAATAAATTTATATAAATTTATAAAAGTAATGATAAAAAAGTTCTTAAAAACTTTAAAAAAATTATGCATTTTAAAAGATTAAATTATCATTTATATATTTTAAAAGAATTTTATTATTATTTTTTCTTAAAATTATTAGAATGCAGTTATTATTATTTTTTAGAATGACATGACTGTGTCCCCCCGTTGCTGAAGTGGCCTCTCTTGATTGGTTTATTTTGTTTTTGTTGTAATTTTAGCGGATTATTATTATTATTATTTGCAGCAAAATTAATTGACAATTTTTTTGGGTTCGGATAAAAGGGTCAAAACTTACGTGTATAATTAAACCTTCGTTTTTCCATTACAGGGAGAAACAGATTGGAGTTGCTCGCTCTTTGCACCCAAAACCCAAACCCTAATGCTTGTGGGTTAGTCTGTCTGTCATTGATAGTTTTTGATTGGCTTTGTAGATTATGGCTTCAGAAAGCGCTTCTCGATCGAGCTCAGCGGCCGATTCCTACATTGGCAGCTTGATCAGCTTGACCTCTAAGAGTGAAATCAGATATGAAGGGGTTCTGTACAATATCAATACCGATGAGTCCAGTATCGGCCTCAGGAATGGTACTGCTTTGTTTTTTTTTTTTAAGTAATTCCATCTAGGTTTAATATGTTTTCCACTGAATTGGGGTTCAATCTATTTTAGATCTTTTACCTTGGTCGTTGATTATAGCTGAAGGTTTGTAGATCGTCATCTACATCATTGTTTCGTCCCTTTTGAACTGTGGGTTATTTCAAAGGGTTATGAATTACAGTGTCGTGGGAGGTGTTCTGAATTTCTTATTATTATTTGTGTGTCTGCCATAGAGTAAGGGCGATGGCCGAAGGGTCTAGTAACATTATGGCTGGACGTAGTAGTGTGGGCATATGTACCATGAATGCGATTTTGAATCTCGTAGCTTGTGATTTTTTTCCCCAGTAATGCTTACCAGTGTTTTGAAACTATTGTGAAAGCTTTGTCATATGTCTGTCATGATCGAAGGCTTTTGGATTGTGCTCTTTTCAGCATGATCTGATTTCTCCCTGGTTAATAACGGCAAGTTTTCTTCAAGTTTATTTGTTCTCTCTATTGATGGAATCGAAATAGAAAATATAGGTTTGGGCATATACAAAGAAGATCAGGGGAGGCACCAATGAGAAGAGTGGAACATATAACTTTGAGTCTGATTAAGAGAGGTAGAGGAAGGCCTAAGAGAACACTCTTGAAAGTTATTGAACGCAATCTCTTAATTAATAATATTCCTAAAAGCTTGATAAATGATAGAGCACAATGGCGTCTTGCAATCCATGTAGCCGACCCTACCTAGTGGGATAAAGGCTTATTGTTGTTGTTTGTTGTTGTTGTATTGATGGAATCGAAAGAATCACAATTATTAAAAACCGAATAGTATGGAAAATAATTTTAATCATTTTCATTTGTTTGGATAATTTATCACTTGGGAATATATACATTTGCCTGTAATAGTTAGAAAACAGACAGAAGGGAACGGTGAGGAAAAAGGCTGTATAGAATTTGACTAATTTTACCATTTGTTGTGGTTAAGGTTTCTTTCTTTATTCTTTCGTGGGGAAGAAATGGATGTTCTTATTTCATCAAAATATCAAATGGTTCCGTATCCCTCATATTGTGCTTTTTTTTTGGAGGGAACAAATTAATAAATAAATGCTTCCTTGGCTTTGTTTCCTTATTTAAGTGCCACGTGCCAAAACAAGAACTTAAATGATTCCTTCTGTTATTCACCCTTGCATAGTTGTTACCGACATATGTGGCCTACAGAACATTGTCTGAGTGTCGCACCCTGTAAGTCTTGCAGTGTTTGCTAATAATAATATTAAATGCTTCAGTGTGGCATGCGGCATGCTTCACAAATCCCCATGAATATATGGCCACAATTTTTTTCAAGTTTGCAATTTTCTGATCTCTCTTTTTTCCTTCTATGATTTCACAGTGTTTCAATACTTAATTTTGTTCATCTTCAAATTCTGTCTATATTCCATGACTTCATCTAGAAAGCACTTTATTCATTTATTTATTTTCCAATTTCTAGCACAACCCATGTTGGCTAGCGAATGTCAATTCTGCTGAATAGAAACCTTTTCTCGTTTTACTCCTAAACATCAAGTTTGGCACTTGTGACTTGACCATTTGATATTATGTTTCATGTGTGATATGATACGTCTTTCAGTATTTTCATTATTATTGTTATTTTGAAGTATATTTCATCTGTGTTTATAATGCTTCAATGTGGCAATGTTCTTTGCATCATATGAGCATGGCTCTAGGAGCCCCTTTGCTATATTGGCCAACATGCCATTGACTGCCACGTGCCATTTTATTCCCTTATGTCCTTATGTTCCATACTTCCAGATAAGTAGTTAGTAGTAAATAAATTGCTGATTTATGTTGTTAGATTATAATAGCACTGAATGTCTTGTTGATTGAAAGTTAGGCGAACAAACTGCTTTTAATCTGTTATTCATTGATAAATGTGATTATGAGTTGAAAAGCCAACCAAATGACTTTAGAAAGGCACAAACCAGAAAATAAGGCACACACCTTTTCACGCCTTCATAACTTGGATTCAGTTTCTGCTGGATTATTATCATTACCCTTTTTTGGGAAAATGGTGGTAAGTTCTGAAACTTTTTGTCATGGAGTAGAGACAATCTTCATGGTACTAATAATGAAGTGACAGTTTCTATATTTCCCATTCTCAGTTCATATACAGTTGCCCTGGGGGAGGGTTTGAACAGACACCAAGGAAGAAAAAATTGAAGTCTTTTTAGTAAATATAAAGGTTTTGGAATTTTTCATCATCATCCCAAAAAGAGCAGCAGTAATAATTCTCTTTTGTAGTTCAGTGGTGTTGGTATTGGCTAAATGAGAGAGAGTTTCCTAAATGAATTAGCTAATCAAATTTGGAGTATTTTCTAGATTTAATACTGTTTAAAACAAATCAATTATTTTCTTCCCTTTCTATCATCTTGTAGCCATCAGGATTAAGCAGTTTCTATTTTCTTGTTTTCCTTCCATGTTTGGAGCATGGCCTGCAAGTCAACTCCAGCTCCTTCCTTGGCATTTTATAGTCATCTTCGCCCCTCTTTTATCAAGTGAATATTCTACAACAACAACAAGCCTTATTCCACATCAAACGAATATTCTATGATCAATAAAATTAATCTATGAGAATTTTCAAGTGGTGACAATATTCTTTGTACTGCTAATAGAATGATAATTTCACTATATCCCATTTGCAAACCTGGTATACTTGTCCTGGGGTGGGTTTGGATGGATACTAAGGGAGAAAAAATTTTAGGCCTTTTTCAGTTCTAGATATGTTTTAAAATTTGTTGTCATCCCCCCCCCCCAAAAAAAAAGTAATTGTAAGAATCCTTTTGTTGGGTAGTGACGAGAATCTTCTTTACATCATTAATGAGAATATAAGATGACAATTTTGATATTTTCCATTTGCAATCCTTGTACAGATGCCCTGGGGGAGGGTTTGGTGATTGGTCTGACAATCAGGCAGAACAGAAACAGTTGGAGTTTTCTGTAGTAAAAATGAGCCCCCCCCCAATCTACTTACATCTTTATTTAAGCTTTTTATTTAGATGGACTGGCACTGTTGTTATGTTTGCCTTGATAGCTTTTAAATTTGCAATTTGGGCATGATTCTTTTTTAACAAATCAGATGATTTCTGCTTATTCTAAGAATGTGTTCCAATAATTATTTTCTGTTAGAGGCTCCTTAATATGTTTTTGTTTGATGTCACTAGCATTGTTGTTGTGGTGATGCTTTTATTTTTGTGGGCAGTACGGTCTTTTGGAACTGAAGGAAGAAAAAAGGATGGGCCACAAATTCCCCCTGGTGACAAGGTTTATGAGTATATACTGTTCCGTGGGAGTGACATCAAGGTATAATTTGTGTAATTGTGGATCATAGCCCAGCACCTTTTTTCTGTAGTTGGGATTTTGAGACCGTGAAGACACTTAATTTGCTAGGTTGCTCTTATCTTGTTGAATACTTAAAATCTCCTTTGGGAAAATGTGGTTTGTTTCCTTTGAATAACTTGGTCTGGGTCTTTTTGTTTGTAGTCTCCAGTATTCATTGTTGCTCTCACTGTCTTGTGTTGAAGGTTTAGCTGATTAAGGTCTAATAATTACAAGAAAACATTCAGTATCATCATATATGTTGGCAGCAGAGAAATAAACATTAGAAGGCTGATCCATATTTCCTTTTGCCTTATAATTTTGACAGATGTTATTGCATGCATACTTTTAATATTTCATCAGCATGTATTTATGGATTAGATTGGTTGAAATATCGGCCGTGCTTTCTTTTTGTGCAGGATTTACAGGTTAAATCCTCTCCACCTATCCAGCCTACTCCACCAATAAACAATGATCCAGCTATTATCCAGGTTGATTAGAGATTATATATACACATGCATAATATGCCAAATTAAGTTGACTGCCTTCAATTAATTTTATCACCTTGTAAAGTGTGTGGATGACTTTGCAGTCTCAATATCCCCATCCTGCTGCCACACCTACAAGCTTTCCTTCTGCTGCAAGCGGGTCTTTGACTGATCTTAGTTCCCATACCACACAGCTTGGACTGCCTGGGTCAAATTTCCAAGGGCCCCTGCCTTTGTATCAATCTGATGGGAACATAGGCTCATGGGGGGCTTCGCCACCGGTCCCAAGTGCAAATGGTGGTGGCCTTGCTATGCCAATGTATTGGCAAGGATATTATGGTGCCCCAAATGGGCTCCCTCATTTACACCAGCAATCTTTACTTCGACCACCACCAGGCTTATCGTTGCCTTCATCTATGCAGCAGCCAATGCAGTACCCTAACTTTAATCCCTCTTTACCCTCTGGGTCTTCAAATATGCCAGAACTGCAACCATCATTACTACCTGCCAGTTCTAGTTCTCCTAGTATAACATCCGCTTCCTTACCACCAGTAAATCTTCCATCAACTTTGCCTCCTGCACCCTCTGCTTCATTAGCTTCTGAAACATTTCCAGCATCAGTACCAAACAAAGCACCAACTGTTCTGCTTCCAGCATCCACATTAGCTGCTAACTTACCATCACTGAATCCTATGACCACATTCAATCCAGATATAAATGTTATAGTGCCACCAATCTCCAACAAATCTAATGCAATTCCTTCTTCAAGTTTGCCATATCAAACTGCATCTCAATTTGCTCCTGCAGTTGTTGGGTTATCAAATACTACCCGTACAGAAGCACCTGTCCCTTCTTTGGTAACTCCAGGTCAATTGTTGCAGAGCGGGCCAGCATTAGTTTCTTCTTCTCAACCTACGCAAACATCCCATAAGGATGTTGAAGTGGTTCAGGTATCATCAACATCATCTCAGGAGCAGTCTGTGCCAGTTTCTGCTGAAACTAAACCCCCAATACTGCCATTGCCAACAACTTCAGGGGCCAGTCACAAGGTATTTTTCTCTTTGCTTTGTGCATGCACATCACATATATGCACACATTAGATTGGTTTTGCATGGCCTTGTATGTTTGTATATAATGATAGGCCTGGTGGAGATCTGAATTCTTGTAACTTGGATATACTTTCATCATCTGTGACTTCTTATGCTCTGAGGTAGTCGTTGTTCAGATCATGTATCTGTCTAAGTTCTGCTCTGCATTTTCAAATGATTTAAAGTCTAAAGTCTGTTTACATGTGGTGGTTGGTGGTAGTATATTCACTATATGCCATACATAATAATTGAGGAACCTCTGCTTTTGGTTTTACATGCTTGAAATGAACGTATCCCTTCACTTATGCGCACACATTACATTGGTTTTGCATGTCCTTGCATGTTTGTATAAAATGATAGGCCTGGCGGAGACCTGATGATGTAACACACTTACGCACGCATGGATTCAAACAGAGGGAGAAAGAGTAGGGAGAGACTGAAACGGAGAGGGAGAAAAGAGAGACAGAGAACAGAGAGAGGGAGGAGGAAAAGAGAGAAACGCAGAGCTGGAGGGGAAATAATCAGAAGTTACTCAAAATACTTCTCATTCATTCATCTAGTCTGTCATGACAAGTGCCAACTTAGTCTGAGCTTTCCTACCTATTAAGGAAACCTTAATAACTTGTCCATATAAAGTTAAGGTTCAGATTTCCCTCTTTACAACAGTATTAAAATAACAAAAAAGAAGCTACAGCCTTGGTAGGTTCCTCACAGGCTAAAGCAAAATACAATACTAATAACCTACTGGCCTAGGTTTCTTCAAAATGTTTTTCTTATATTTCACCACATGAATTCTTGTAACTTGGATATATTTTCATCATCTGTGACTAATACTGTGAGTAGTCATTGTTCAGATCTTGACTCCCTGCAAGTTCTGCTCTGTATTTTCAAATGATTTAAGTCTAAAGTCTGCTTACATGTGGTGGTTGGTGATAGTAATTTAAAGTCTGCTTTTGGTTTTACATGCTTGAAATGAACGTATGCTTTTCTGAAGTCTGCTTGCATATGGTGGTTGGTGGTAGTCTATCTCATTTATGCATGCATTACAAATATTATATTCCATCAATCTCCTTTCTGATATTTTGTATATCTGGTTGCACTCTTTCTAGCCAAGTGGAGCTCTCATTCAGACTCATCATTATTATGGTTACAGAGGAGGACGTGGAAGGGGGAGAGCCATGGGGGTAATGCTCTGTATGATATTTCCTTTGAGATAAAGTAGTATTTTTTTGTGTCAAACCTGAGAATTTAAAGGTTGTCTGCTACTTCAATATCCAACTTTGTTATGTATGACCGTTCTGAGTCTTTGCTGTTTTGTTGTGCTTGCTGATTTGATTAGCCTCGCAAATTTTTTTTGGAGATGATCTCTAATGTGTAAATCTATGACAATCCAGTTAAAGGTATAAGTTTGAATGCTTGCAGGGTTCACGCCCAGTCACAAATTTTACTGAAGATTTTGATTTCATGGCAATGAATGAGAAATTTAACAAGGATGAAGTATGGGGTCATCTTGGCAAAAGCAACAAGGCTCACTCAAAAGAGAAAGAGGCTGAGGAAGATGTCAGCGATGAAGATGGTATTCATGATGAGGACTATGGTGAAGTATCAAAATTTGAGGTCAAGGTACGAATTTTACAACTTGTGTGTGCGTGCAATTTGAGGTTGTCAGTTATTCTGTATGCATAATTACATACTTTTAGTTGCATTGCTTAATCCTGTTACTTGCGTTCTCCGCAGCCTGTTTATAATAAGGATGATTTCTTCGACTCACTCTCATCCAGCGCGCTTGATCACAATTCCCAAAATGGAAGGACCAGATATCCTGAACAAATTAAGATTGATACTGAGGTAATTTGTGTTGATTTGACTGATTCTATATTTGTGAGATGGGGGGTTAATGTTCAAACATATTTTACTGATTTGTGGTGCAGACATTTGGTGATTTTGTGAGGTACCGTGGTGGTCGAGGGGGACGTGGTCCTTGGCGTGGAGGTGGCGGTGGCCGTTTTCGAGGTGGCTATTATGGAAGGGGTTATGGCTATATGGGAAGGGGAAGAGGACGCGGTATGCCGAGCCGCCCATAGTTGGCAGTGTAGATTCAAGTTTAGATTATCATGAGAAAAGAGAGTCAAGCCCCTGGCTAAAGTTAGCCTAAATTATCCCAAGGCACAATAGTTTGTATTTTCTGTGTTTCATTTTAAAGGTTGACATTTTTTATCCAATTTGTCATGATAGCTTCTTTCCTTGCCCATAAAGGAAAGCGCCTGGTTTTGGGGGAAGTATACTTCTACGCCATCTTATTTTAGCTTATTTAGAAGGCTAAGTCTAGTTAGTGTATAGAGCAGTTTGATTTGCCATCTTTAAAATGGAGCTTAGTTGTCTATTTCAGATGTGCTTATTTTCATACCGTGTGCATTGTAAATGCAAGTTGCAACTTGATTCCTAATGTCATTTGTAGATTGGGGCTTATTATGTGTAATTCTATGGAGTTGACGTATTTTTATTAAAAGCTATGGAGTCGACGTTTTAGTTTTATTAGTTTTTGAAATTCATTTCTTTTTTTGGGGTAAATGGTGGGCCATTTTTTTAAACAAAAAGAAAACTAATTATTTAATTCTCATAATTTTGTTTTTATTGTAATTTAGTTATTGAATTTTATCTTTGTGCTACTCAGTTTCTAAAGTTGAAATTCAGTTTTTAAATTTTAACTTAGTGTATTTTAATTTTTATAATTTTAGCTACTTAAAATATTAGTCTTGAAGTTTTTAAATAATACTTGATATGCATAATTTTTTTTTTAAAATAAAAGAATTAATATTTGAAATGATTAAAATTATGAAAATTAAGTTGTATTAAATTAAGATTTAAAAGTCAAATTATAATTGAATTATAGTTTGATCATATCTAATATTACACATAGTATTACCAAAGAAAATAGCATCATCATGCACAACTTTCTTAATATCATGCCAAACATTACAAAATTGATATATATCATATCAAAAACTGCAAAGCACAACAGAGCATGAGAGTTCTACTTGCAGGTGGCAACGAGGACTCTTCTGGGAGGAAGAGAAGGTCTTCTTCCATGGACGAGAGCCAAGTTATCTAAGAAGAGGACGTCCCCCTTTCTGCCACTTGAACTGTATGCTTTCTTCTTCAATGATCTCTTCACATCTCTTCACCAGTTCCTCAGGAATCTCACTGCCGTCGGCCATGGCGGCCGAGCTATGCTCCTTGCCGTGCATCCCCACCACCGTGTTGAACCACATCCTCCTTCCTTTCCTCCCTTCAAACACCTTCGTCAATGGCCTTGCTCCTATGATTGTCTTCACTGCTCCATTTGACTGCCACTCTAACTCCATCCCTAAAGCTTTGGCTCTGCCGAGAGTTTATTCAGAGTCACGGGTAAAGTATCAAGTTTATGGGTCTTTTTATAGAGCACACAAACATATCTTTCTGGGTTCAAATTTATATAATGAAGGAAAGTGCCTGATTTCGGCTATTTTGGGATCAGAAGTAGCAAAAGCTTCCTCTCATGGAGGAAGTGTCATTCTTACTGAGGGCAGTGAAAGAGTATGTGAGGCCCTTCTTCTCCATTTCTTCCACTGCTTCCGGCAGCTCCTCCACCATCCTCTCCGTCACTCTGAAGCTCGGAACAAACGGCGTCTCTCCTCCCTCCGGCGGCGCCACCTCACAGAACAGTATCACTTTCTCTGGATATTCATTCATCTGCTTAATCATAAAATCACCACAATTTCTCTGGATATTTAAGGTTAATTTGAATAAACCTACCCGGGCCGGCCAAGTTGACCGCTCTAACACCAACGTTGAAACAAGGAATTAAGCACTTAAGAAGATTAAACGAGAAAGAACGTACGTACCAGAACCATTTCATGGTGAAAGTAGATGAAGTGAGAGAGGGGGCCTTCATTGGCAGTCCAGACTCTGTTGTAAACGTGGGTACGAGGTGCGGGTCCCAGGTAGCGAATGTGTTGCCAGCCCAAGGTTTCGATGATTTGGTCGAAATCCTCGGCCTTGTTCACTCGGAAGCCTCGAACCAGAAGCGCACTCTTGTTCTGTATCGTCTTCTCCAACCATTGCTGGTTCTTCTTCAACCCCAACACCTGAGAATCCATGTCACTCTTGTTCTCATCCGCTGGCTCTAACACCAGAGGCATCGTTTCTCCCTCCACCACCTTCTCTCCTTCGCATTTCCCCACCTTCAAGTACTCTCTCCAACAACCCTCCTCCATCTCTCTCTCTCTCTCTCTCTCTTCGTTGTCTGATTGATTGATTTTTCATTTTCAGGTGGGTTTATAGCTTCCCAAATCCAAAGGCTTGTATATACGAACTTGTTTTGAGTAACCCTCAAAAATATATTTAAATTATAAAATATATTTATATTAAATATAATAAATAGTTGGATCTCAAATATACTTTTGTTAGATATATATATATATATATATATATATATTAGAATTGAGGTGTAATTGTATTGTGTGGATTTATAAGATTGATTTGATTGATTATCTTTGAAAAATGATACTCCCTCCGTTAAAAAATGTAATGTATTTTTTAAGGAATTGAATGTTAAATAATATAAGATATTTTTAATTTTTTAAAATGTAATTATTATCTTTTTTTTAAAGTGTCCATATTGATAGTGATTTTATATTTATTATAAAATATTTAATAGGGACAAATATGATAAAATAGGATTAGTTTAAAAATAAGTAATTACTTTTTTGAGGGGTGAGATTTGATTAAAAATGCCTTATATTTTTAAATGAAAAGAGTACTAAATAAATTAGTTAATTACTGTTGCACAAAAAAAGATATAGACATATTAAGGAGATGTCTGATTCCTGTTTTTAAAAATTTTTTATTTTTAAACATGTAAAATAAAAAACTCATTCTCATAAGTGTCTTGAATTTAAATATTTTCAAAAAGTTTCCTATTTTTTTAAAATTTCAAAAAAAATAAAAACATTTTAGAGCTGTTTCTTTTTAGCTTTTGTTTTTAAAACTCATACTACATTTAATTATTAAAAATTATCATCAATCATGGCTAATAATTATCATAAGCCATCACCAACCACTATTATTGGATGATTTTTTAACTTTAAAATTGTCTTTAAAGTGACACATTTCTCTTTGAATAGGTTTTGTTTATAAAAAAATTAATTAATTAATAAAAAAATTAATTAATTATTTTGTGTAATTTATTAACATGTATATATGATAATTTATTTTATATACTTTTAGTATATTATTCAACGAATAACATCTATGAGAATTTCTTGCTTGTAAAGATCCTTCTTGTTCATTTGTGTACGTGTGATCTTCTAAATTTAATTTCTTAATTGTGTTGTGGCAGATTGTGAGAGTATCTTCACTTCAAGTGTTGCTTTGGATGCCTTTTGAACTGCTAAATGTCACTAAATCTATGAGCCAGTAGGTATTGACAAAAATTGAGGAACAAACACCCAAAAAAAAAAAATTGTGTGTGTACAATCAATATATTTTTCAAATTTTCCTAGTAAATTCTATTCTAGAAACAACTTTATAATTATTTAAAGGATTGAACTTTAGGCACAATTCTTTGTATTTTTTTCCTGTTAAGTGTCCATCAATTATTAATTTAATCTCTTATGTTTTTTAAAAATATTATATTAGTCCTTTAAGTTTTGATCTTTGAAACAAAAATGAACTCTCAAATTAATATATTATGTAGAGTATATTGATGACTTGACATGTATATGTAACTAAATGATAGCAAATTAACCCTTAAATTAGTTTAATTTTTATCAATCAAGTCATTTACATTATGTTTTTCTATTTTTTTTAAAATGAGTCTTTTTCTCTATCTTAATAATTACACTTCTTTTCATTAATTTGCATAATTTACTATTGATATTCTATTATTCATGTCAACAAATTGTAATAATATTCCATTCTCTTTAAACAAACAAGAACCAAATTGATAAATAAGACAAATGTAAAAAATCAAATTGATAAAAATTAAATGAGTGACTAAATTAATAATTAAAACAAACTTGAGAGATCAAGTGTTCCGTTATCCCTAAATATTTAATTGGAATTTCAAAGCTATTGTTCGATTGACTGGAATATAGCAAGAAATTATTTTAATTTTTTAATAAAATTTAATTCATAATAACAAGTTACTTATAAAATACCCTTATTACATTATAATATTAAAAAATAAAGAAATAATTTAGCGAACAAGCTTATATGATGAGTTAATTTATTGACTTGAGACTGCAACCATGAAAAATTATGCAATATGAATAAGTTCCATTTGTTTTATTTTGTTTTATTGGTCATTATCACCAACTTTATGTCTTAGTTCCAATTATACTATGATACATGCTAAGGGTCTGATCATCTACTTTAGTTAGGCATATGTTATATGCTTGGACACTAATGCTCTATGTTGCTCAAAGACATAGGAATGAGACAACTGTCATAATTAATTAAGATACCATTATTAACTTATTTGTTTATTTTTTAACTAATTAACAAAATAGAAATTTGAATTAGAAGACCAAAAATAAGCATAGAACATATTTGATTTTGTTTTAAAAAACTATTATTTTGTTCTCAGAAAAAAAAAATTAATTTGGATTTCAAATTATTCTCATTTAAAATAGAAACATCTTAAAATTATTTTTATTTTTTTTCATTTTTAAAAAATATCATTTTTAATAATTAGAAACTACCATCAGCTATGATCAATAACTATCATAAGCCAATAGCTACCATCATTAACTATGAGTGATCAACACTATTTGGCTGACCTTTTTTTTTTTTTTTTTTACTTTAAAACAATTTTTAAATTAACATAATTAAATAGAGCCCATGGACTCTTCTTTGGCTGCACAATCAATCAATCAATCAGAAGTCAGACCTTATCATTTATTCCAGTCATGGAAAACATTTGCATTTCATTCAATCAGATTAAATATCAGTGGGCTCTTATTCCTTCCTTGGCATAATCACTAATCTGCACTAAATATGCAAGCCTACAAAATCTACTGAAACCGATAATAATCATCACCAAGCACGAAGCATTTTTCAGGCATTATTGGTGTAAAACAAAAAGAAAGATCACTTCTGGGGTTACAGCAATGTAACTACAAGATTTCTGTCCGAGAATTTGGCTCCACCAACCTTACCTTGAATTTCGGGTGGCAGAGGAATGGCACGTCTTTGGTCACCTGCCTCAACCAATAGTTCTGACCCTCCTCTATACTGCATGCATAGAAACCATGCAATTAGCAATTTAGCACCAAGACTATTTGCACACATCAACTATACAACGAGGATATTTTGAGGAAAACTGATCTCAACTGAGGTTTTGAGGCTTCTACCAGGCATCAACTGATATCACAAAAAAACTGGTTTTGAGGTTTTACTCTCCTATCGTTTTTTTTTTTCATCCTCCTTCCCCATGCAATTACCAAAACAACTAAAAAGATGTTTTATAATTTGGCATGAAAGGAGTGGCAATCCTGGTTGATTATAAAAGGATTTTAAATATAACTTACTTGGTATAGCTTGATCTCTGATTTGTCAAAACCTGGCATGAAGAGAGTTACTATTTTTCTTGTTGAATCAAATTTAACTGATGATTTAACATTGCTTCTTCGGCTTGCAAATGATGTAAGAAGAAGCCTGGCATCTTCATTGACAGTATCCAATAGAATGCTGTTCCAAGCTATTGGGCTATTCATCAACATGCTAGAAATGAAAGCAGAAGGCAAGGGTGAAAAATTTTTCTTCACTTTATCCAGTGATTCTATATTCAGTTGCTGAGAGGTGACACCAAAAGCACCAGAAACCTGTCCACCAGCTTGGATAGTACAACCCCAATATCGTAATGCAGAACCAACAGAGGTTGGATTATTTGGATCCATCACAAGGAAGCAACCAAATCTCTGTGGGTTTATGAAGGCAAACGATCCTCGCTGGACATGACATAATCAATACTGGTGCTGCATCAAGGTGGAAGAGAATTAAATAACATTTACTCTTATGACTTACCACCAGCAATTCATCCAGAGTGTCCCATATTTCTGCACTCATTTTCCCATCAAAATAGGATCTGCTACCACTAATTCTCATAGCCTCTTCCACAAGTCTCAGCAGTGTAGGAGCAGCCAATCTCCCTAGGTCAGTTTTCTCAGCCAAGGTGCGCAAATATTTCAAGTACAATCTGCGACCTCACAATATCAAACCAAGGGTAATGATCAGAGGCTGTAAGTGTTTTTTATGTGCACATGAGGGGGGGGGGGAATTTCAAACCTTGCTTTACTGGTTGCACCTATCATACGCAGGGTTTCCTCACTGCTGATACCATCATATATTACAATATCAAATTTTTTTTGTTGGTTCTTTGGAGCTGTAGTCCCCAAGAATCCAACAAGCCTCTCAAGTGACAATGCCAAAAGGATTGAGTCCATCCCAGGCAAGACACCAAGCTCTTCTCCAACAATCTAGTATAAAAGAATGAAAGGAGCAGAAGACAGTTACACAAAAAATAATTAATAGACGAACATCATGTTCATCAAATACAAAGTTAGTAGAAAACAAATTACATACCCACCCCTCCGAGTGTGCCTTGTGTCAAATTAAGCTGGGCATCAGCTTGCTTCAAACGGTTTAGAGGTTCAAGAAGCATCTGCAGTAATAAAGCAACACCAGAGTCCAAAGTCACCAAGACAAAATAGTTAACAAGATGATGTATGTAAAGGAAGGAAGAGGAGCAAAAGACACACTTTAGTTGTTTCCAACCTAACAGCTGAAAGGTTCTTGCTGCATTCAACTTGGGAATTTCCAATCTTACAGTTGAGGAGATAGTCAGCAGTGGTGTCTTGGTTTTGTATAACTAAGCATGTATTTAGTCCAGCCATTGCGTAATGCTGAAAACAAAAGGAAACAGAGCGAGAGATTTACTGCTTTTCCTTGCCGAACATGGAAGGGTACGGGTTTGATCTTAAATTCACAACAGCACATCTATAGCAAAAGAAAGCATTTTTAGTGCAGTGGATATAAAAAAGAGGTGAGTGTAAGTAAAATAATCATGGAAAGCTATCTCATATACTATGTCCTTCCATTTTCAAGATCCACTAAAAAGTATCCTCATTCATGGGTGTACAAATATAGTATGGACAGGCAATGGGGCAAATGGTACGTAATGATAACAACCAGTGGATCATCACAGCACTGTGAAGTCATGGTGTGTACAAACTTAAAAAGCAAAATTCCAGATTCATTTTCCTTTTATCAAATAAATAAAAAAATGCATAACCATTACAGCATCGCTAAGATTCTACCCTAACACTTTTCCTTAAAATATCAGGACCAGCTGACATTTTTTTGTGACTACATTAAACCCCAATTTCTTTTTCCCTGTTCTCAGCATTTGCAATAAACCCTCGGCATCCTAATTTTGCCTCAAAAAGGACATGGTATGGGCAACAACTAGAACAATCATTTAGGGATTTCCAACACGAGATTATTGGTTTCTTCCAAAATTCAGACTAGAATTTGACTAACGGACGACTTCTGTTTTCAGGGTTCGGAAACCTTCCTAAAGTTAACTACATTCATCTAGGGATGCCATGTTTCCGGATAAACTGATCTCTGCAAGAAAAGCCAATCTAAAATCGCAATAGTAGTAAGTACAAGTCAAAAATAGTAGCTCAAACCCATTATCAAAATAAATCGAACCTGAGCGGCGAAAATAGCAGCAGTGGTCTTGCCACAGCCACCTTTTCCGAGAAACGTGATCAATTTTGTTGATTCTCCAGATGAGCTAGCAGTGCCAATTGGCTCTGAAGAAGCGGCCATAACTAGAGATGGAACTCTTAGTCGCAATGGAAGCTTGGAATGTCCCATGGGTATGGGGATTCCAAGTAGCAGCGGACAACAAAGAGAAGAAGTCATGATCGTGGTGCAAATCCTACAAGTTTCAGCGATGGAAGAACGAACAATGACGCAGTACTATCAACGGTTCCAAATTCTTACAGCGAATTGCACAATTATCGAAAACGCAGTATTCTTCCCCCGCCCCACCAATTCAAGACCCGTTAGGCTGGAATGCTGAGGGATAGTCACTGGGCTTTTTCTCCCCCAAATAAGCCGCTCAAATAAATCATTTTTTATTTTTAAATTACTTTTAACATATTTTATTAATATTAAAAACGGTTTAAAATTTGTCAACTTATTTAAAAATTTAATAATTTTTAAGTTTTATTTTTAGTAAATATATATACTTTAAGAACTTATTTTCTCTCCTCAATGTTCAATAGAAAATAAAAAAATTATAATAAAAATTAAATAATATGATTTATAAATAGGATAAAAAAATTATCTCTCTCCATCCTATAAATATAACTATCCCAGTATTTAACATAAAACGAAATTTAAAGTTTGTGTCTTTAATATAAGATAAAATTAAAATAATTAATGCTATTTAAATTTTTTTATTTATTAATGGAAGACAAAGAGTACTTACTATTTTTTTAATTTTATCCCTTATTTATTTATTTTCGTTTGAATTTTCAAATAACAATTTATTATCTTTATTACTTATAAAAAAGAATAAAATTGAAAAATTACTTTTTTTTACAATTTCAAAATTATAACTAACATTTTTAATAAATATAAAGTTTTTTAACTTATTTTATATTGAGGAATATGATTTAATGATATTAAGATTTTGCACCCGTATAGTTGTACATGATAATTAATAGAAGGATCGGATCGGATGGTGGGGATTGGGAGTGAATTATGTATGCATTAAGGCATTAAACATATTTAATTCTCAGATCATAATCTGATCGTCTAATTAATGGAGGGAGGGGATAGACAATCCATAATCATGCGAAGGTAACGTTCTTGGATCGTCATCAAGCTTTTGTCCTTTTGGATGACACCATCATACATCTCATCATCTTGTTCCTCACATTCCGAACATATCTAGGTCTGATTCTTGACATCCATAGGTATCACCATGCGTAAGACTGATCATTTGGTTTATTGCCGTGGTAGCGTTTTTAAGTGTAAAATTTAGAATTTATATATGAGGACTTAGATTTAGTAAAAATTAATTTGAGTTCGTATCAGGGGCCTAAGTGGGATATTTGGGGTAGCATATATGAGACTGATCATTTGTCTCATCGATATGGTAGCGTTTTAAGCCTAAAATCCATTAGGCATGTACTAGCTTTTGTTGTCATTTGAATTTTACAAAATATGTTTGGGTAAAAGTCTCAAAAGATTATTTATCTTCCTTAAGAAGCACTAAACACCCTATATTGAAGGGTGGGGAAGTATTCCCCAAAATAATTTTTTTAAGAGAGAAATCATCCTTTTATCAGAGACCTTTTATCTTATTTATCATTTACTAACAAGGAATAATTGTAAAACTCATGTATAATGACAATAAGGCATTCTAATTCATTTTGCCATTGTTAAAATCAAGCTCAATTTTTGCCACTACCACTTCTAACCTCTTTGGCCCATGTCAAAAGGTCAAAATGCATTGTTATTATATGTCGGTCTCAAAACTATTCCACGTTAGTAAATAATAGAATAGATGACGGGTCTCTGACAAAAAAGGTGATTTTGTTTCTAAAAAAAAATATTTAAAAGAGACATTGTCTTTTTAGTATAAGGTTTTCAATACTCTTCATAGAAAAAAATAGAAAGAAAAATAGCCTTTAACCAAATATGTTTTATTCTTTTCAAGTGTACTTGGTTGTTTTGAAACTTGATTGTTGAATATAATGCACTTGTAGATAGTAAGGGTGAAATTGTGTTAATGGTGAATGTTCAAGGGGTTATGATTTTTCTTACAACCATGTGGTACATCACTATTCAATGCACAATGGCTGACTCTTTGAGAGCTCCTTTCCTTGATTTGAAATTGTAGCATATAAGGTGCCTCCTTTTAAAGAAAAGCATTTAGATCTATTAAATTATAGGTGTATCCTCAACCTAAAATTCCAACTAGCAAGACAAGAAGGAAGAAAGATATAAGGAGGGGTTAAGATTTTTCATCGCTTATTTGCTTAGTTAAATGGTTTTAAATGCTCTTATTTTTTTGTGAAAAACTACATTCCCATGATTTTGAAATAAACTAGTTTGTGAGACAAGTTTAAAATGGTTTGCTAGTGTAGACTAGGATATCTATTTATTATTGAGATGTTAAATCTTACTTATTGCTTTTTACAACCATTGCGTCATGAGGGTTCAAGTTAGTTTCAAGAGAAAGTGCCAGAAAATTGAGCCATATGACTCTTGTTACTCTTGTCAACTTGGCATAGGTCATTTGTGTTGTTATTGCTTACTTGCCATGACTTAGGATGCTTACCTAGCTTTACAGATTTTGGATTTGTGGACAAAAGTATTATAATTATGCTATTATGGATTTTATTTGAAGAATTTGCATTCTCATACATCGGTTGAAATATGGGTTGAATCCAGTTAATTTCAAAATATTATTTAGATGATTTATTATGTTGTTTGGACTTCAAATGCCCTAAGCCCAATAGTTTGACTATCTTGGGATCTCAATTGTTTAAAGTTTGACAGAGTTTATGTAATTATGCTATAAATTTTGTTCTCCTAACTAATTAATCGATCTATGCATTCATACTTTCATATTAGGCCAATAGAAATAGGTTAGCCCATCAATACCATTGGGCAGCCCAATAGAAAAATTCCACTAAGAAAAAACTAACTAACAATACATGATCAATGGGGGTTTGGTAGAGTTGATAAAGGTTACTACCAGCATTTTTTGGGATGAAGATTCAAATTTTAGAGAATGACAGACATAAGAATTAACACAATCTCAAAAAAGTCGTCCCATCGATACCTTGCTATCACCGTAAGATCTCTTTATGAGAGGTCCGGATTAGTTTGGAATAGATAATGAACCATAACTATCTCAAAATATTGGATGGTTTATATAAAAAAAAAAAATTAACAATACACGGTTATTGTCCAATCACACGTGTGACACACAGTTTAAAATAAAATCGCTAGCTTCTCATATGTTTAATTATTTAATTATTCACGTGAAAAGTTAGACATGGCCAGCACGATTATATATAAATAAATATTAAATAATAAATAAAAGTCTTGTGAACAAGGGAAAGTACCTGTGAGATGAGGAGAACACTGAAAAGGAGATCTTGTTCATGTCATGCTCAATCCAATTCCAATAATTCCATGTAGATGTGTAATTTTATATTAATTACTTAACTATTCCAAATCCATTCCCAAGATTTCCATAATGATGTATAATCATGGTTTCATTGATCAAGCACAGCATACACAACAACTTGTTTTTCTTTTTTCCTTTTGGGTCTATATATATATATATATATATATTCCTTTGCTTTTTGTGGCTTTTATCATTGAATTTAGTTTCAAATGGATACATAAAAAAATTAGAAGCAGCTTCAATATAATAGAATTAATTAACCAAAAAAATACTAACATGCATGCATGTGTTTTTCTTTCATAATTTTAATATCAAATATTACATAAACACACATCACACACATTAAAAAAAAAATCAGGCACCTTAATTGCGAAGTGCACAAGACCTAAAAAATTGAATTGCCACGTTTGTTATTTATAACTTATACAGGGGAGAATGGCATTTTGAAACTAAAGATGAATTTAAGTACAGGAAAAGTATTTAAAATTTCGGTAAAAGATCAAAGGTCATGAAGCAATTTAATATTGAAATTTGGAAATATAATAATGACATTCTGAAATTAATTAATATTTATATTATTTTATTTCATATTGCCAGATGTCTTTAAAAATATGGAGGTATTACCACCACTCATTTAACGATATTTTTGACATTTTTATTTAATATGACCTCAATATAAGTTGATTTAACTCTCTCAATTAATTAAATCAAGCATTCAATAACTGTAAAATACTAGTATTAAATTTTGAAATCCTATAGTCAAATTTTGGAACATTAGAACAAAATTTTAACATATCAATATTGAAATACTAAATGACTTGATCTTTCATCAGAAATTTTTTGGTCTCAAGATACCATTACCCCATAATTCAAACAGCTATCTATTATATATATATATATATATATATTGATGTGTTCACTATCTATTCATAACTGTTATCTTATATATTTTTTATTAAAAAATATAAAATATTTTTAACTGAATCTCACTCCCAAATAAAAGAGTCAATTGTCTTCAAACTAGCACTATAACACTATCTTTATATATATATATATATATTTCTATAAGGTATTTCACTCTAAAATAAATATAATATAATTATTTATCAACACAGGCACTTATAAAAAAAATGCAATCATTATACTTTAAAAGACTAAAAATATTTTATAATTTTTAACATTTAAATCCTCAAAAAAATCTTACATTTTTCATAGAGAAAGTGGTGGTAAAAGTTTTTATTATTTAAATAAATGGTTAGGGTTTTGAAACCATTATATGTTTATACACTGATTTAATTGGGATGTGTATGGTGCACTTATATGAGAGATAATTTTTTATGTCGATCAGCGCGTATGATCCACTTCCTGTACTAAAAAAAAAAAAAATTCTTGACTTATGGAAAAACCTACTAATGGTTTGCCAATAAGGCACGAGTAATTAAGCCTGCCATATAATTCATTCTACATATAGCTTTAATGATATTGTTGAACTTTTAACTTTTGTCTCCAGCTCATCACTTGTTTTCCTGCATAAATAATCCCTTCATTTCTTTTTGTTTATCGGTAATTAAGATTCCAGATTAAAAAAATATAATTATTTCCTTTATATCTACCTTCCCTTCTCTCTTATGCTTCTTCATTCTCATTGTATACGAAACAGGGCCTTAGAACAACTTAAAAATACAAACAAGAAATTAATAAAATTATGAATATAAATAGTGGATTTAAGTTTGTAATATTAAACGTAAATATTCACAATCATTTTAACTCAATTTTTTTTTTTGCGGCAAATGATGATTTTAACTCAATTTAATTTGTCTTTGAATATGAGTTTGATATTATATATATTTACATATT